CAGAAATGACCAGAAGAAGTGTGATAGACCCAAGTGTGTTTGAAGGAAGTCGTTGAGTCCTGTGGTTTATTTTGTCCCTGATAACCTGGGACTGGCATCTTAAAGTGGTTTTGAGGTAAATAAGGGACAAGGCCGATAAAAAGCAGATCCAGCAGCGCTGGGGCAATCCTTTGTATCGTTTTTATCATATTTCCTCCTTTCTGATGAGGCCCAACTGGCCTGACAAAGCAGCAGTTGCAAGAAGCAAGGCCAAACTGTGCTCATGTCACTAGAAAGATCCATAAACCACCAAAGACCCCCGGAGCATCCCCTGACTCAGTTCCACAGTGTAGCACCACACTGTGTAAAACCCCACTCAGGGGAAGGCAGTGGGGCATTCTCATGAGAGCTGGAATGAATAGAACCCATCCAACTCTCTGTGGCTCTGGCCCCCACCCCCAAAGGATCAAGACTACGGACACTGAAATTGCAGGTCTCGTTGCCCGATCCATGGGTGGTGATCTCCTTCCTCTCCACTATCTGCTCTTGTCCTTTCCTTCTCTTTCCTTCTGTCTTCTCCTTAGATTTTTTCTTCTTGACATTTCTATACTTTTACAGAAAACAACCAAAATGGCTACAAACATCCTTTCCACTGCAACCCAGTTGTTTTAAAATATACCTGCCTCGTACAGACACTGGTCATTCAGCATCATGTTGACCTCAATCATCTATTAGAAGAACCAGGGTCACCCTGCCTCGGAGGTTGCTGGTAAAAAGAAACTGTGAACCTCTCATCATACTCCTGGGGTCTAGGAGCTCCTGGTTTTCCATTTCACTGCTTTTTTATACAATTTAATAATAACAACTTAATAACTGGCACTGCTTTGCCTTTCATGTCAATGTAGGCACTGCCTATGTGTTGTCCAGAGCTCTGCACTTCCTGGATGGAGAAGTGCTGTGAGTGATGTTGAATGAGCTCTGCTGCTCATTGATCCAACTCCCATAGCATCTCCTCTGTAAGACAAACCTCCATTTCTTCAACCTCGAGAAAATCCTATTGGATCTTTCCAGTCTTCTCCCAGTTGGGAGCTGAGAGATGCACAGATGAAGGACTATTGATAAGCTTTCCATGTCATGTATGAAAAGAAATAGAAGTAGCAGCACTTTTCTAAGGAAATTGGATCAAAATCCAGATCTGCCTTCTCCATGTCAATCTTCTCCTGATTCCCACCTCACTTTTCTTTCTATCAGAGCCTAAAGGCAGCTGCTCTCACCGTGGCAATGGAGACAACAGGAGCACAATCCCTGGTGCTATCGGGCACTGCCCAGGGTCTGTGCTGGGATCTGGTTCCCTGTGCTCAGGTGTCCAAAGTCACTGGAGATGCCCTTGGGGAACCTGCCTGGCCTCTGGTTGATGGCCCAGATGGGTTTAGTGTTCCCCAGGATTCTGCAGCAGATCAGCCCCACTGGGGCTCTCACACACCTCAGGGCACCTCAAGGGCCCAGGGTGCATCTGTTTTTGGAGCTGAGCCAGGCCTGGATCTCTGATGGCTGGGATCAGAGCTGGGACACCCAGCCCACCTGGAGACCCCTGCATGTTGCTGCCTGACTTTGCACCTCAACCCCATCCACTGTTTCAGTGCAGCCCCCAAAGAGGTTGGTCCAGGGTGAGAGATGAGGCACTGTAGGATGGTGAACAACAGCTGCTGAGCTGAGAAGTTGAGGCTCAAGCTGGTACCTCTGGAAGTGACACAGCTTGTAGGAGCTGTTTGCAGCCTGATCCACTTCGTTCATGCACATTCCTAGCAGAAGTAACTGCAGTCTGATGGGGGAGACACTATTGTAGGTGTTATGGCATCTTCTAAGTGGATTTGAACACCCCTCCTTCTGCAAGGATGCTCTGGGTGCTGTGATATCACCAGCGGTGGAAATTTCAGCAAGAAGCAACTTGTGGTTTATGTGTAAGATGACCCTGCAATCCAGCACTGGAGCAAATGATTTTTATTATGAACTACTCAGGAACTACATGAACTGGCACACACGGATCTTTTGATTGATATATCTAATGCATTGATTATATTGAATACACTGAATACATGTCACAAAATCCTTTAGCCATAAATCTGCAGAAAAGGTCCAGAAGCACAGCAGAGAATGAAGTTATCCAAGCAGTGTATCACAGACAGAAATTTATCTCTGACCAGCCAAAGCTTCCTGTAGATCTGATGCCTGAGCCTGCCTATCTCAGACTTCAGCTCCTGCTTCTACAAGGTGCAGGTTTCAAAAGCAAGCCAACAAAATCTGGTTCCCAGCATCACAGAATCACTGCATTGTTGAGGTTTGGAGGGACCTCTGAAGATCTCCTAGTCCAGACCCCTGCTCAAGCAGGCTCAGCTAGGGTAGGTTGTCCAGGATCATGTCCACTTGGGGCTTGAGACTCTCCAGCAATGGAGACTCCACAACACCTGTGGGCAACCTGAGCCACCCTCGTCCCACAGCCTTCCTAAGGAGGTGAGGGACAAGTCAGCAGCACACTCTGAGGGACAGCTAATGAGGAGAGGAAGGAACTAAGACCTGTCTGTGGGCAGGGAGCAAAAGGGAAACAAGGCAAAGCCCTTCTGGTCTCACTGAGAAGCTCTGATTTCCTTGTCCATGGGCTCTTCTCCAGCTCTTCCCTCCAGACTGCCAGGGCAAGGACTCACCCCTAGGAGCTCTCTGTCAGCATGGGCAGCAAAGCAAACCAGCTGGAGGCTCTGCCCACCTCCTTCTCCCTTTTATCAGAGCAGGAGGAGGAGTTGCCCTGAGGGACAGAGCTGGAAACCCACCAGGATGGACACTGCACAAGACATTTGTCCCCCTCTCCTCTGCTCTCATGAGACCCCACCTGCAGTGCTGCCTCCAGCCCTGGGCCCACAACATGAGAAGGACACCAACCAGTTGGGGTGGAGTCCAGAGGAGGTCACAAAGGTACTCTGAGAGCTGGATCACCTCTGCTCTCGAGACAGGATGAGAAAGTTAGGGTTGTTCAGCCTGGTGAAGGCTTCAAGGAGAATTTAGGTCCCCTACCAGTACCTGAAGGGTTTTCATGAGAGTTGGAGAGGGACTTTGAACAAGGCCATGGAGTGTCAGAAGGGGGAATGGTTTCACATTGGCAGAAGGCAGCATTAGATGAGAAGTTGTGAAGAATTTCTTAACTTTAAGGATGGTGAAGGACTGACAAAGTTGCTTGGAGAAGGTGTGACTACCTCCTCCCTGGTAGTGTTCAAGGCCAGGTTGGAGGTGGCTCTGAGCAACCTGGTCTAGTGGGAAGTGTCCCTGCCCATGTCAGGGGAGTTGGAACTGAATGATCCTTGAGGTCCCTTCCAATCCAAACCATTTTGTGATTCTGTGATTCCTTGACATGCAGCAAAAGCTCCTTAGCCTTTTACAGCCAGGATGTGAGGCTTAAGTACGCGGACAGGCACTGTGGAACAGAGAAACTTTTCCCTTTCCATACAAGTTGGTCAACTGGTCCTCCAGCTTCCCCAGCGTGAGGAGCGTGATGTTCTTCGCCTTGTTTTCGACAATGGCCGCCCAAGCCTTTGTCTTGTTGGAGGTCGTCCTGCAGCAGGCACTGGACCAGATGTGACTGGGTACATTAACCCTCCCATTGGCGATAGAAGTGTTCCCAGGCACAACACCCACGATGACGTAGGTGGTGTTGCTGATACACCCCTTGCTTTCGTTGGCCATCGTATTCTGCTCATAGTCGTTCCAGGCACCACCATTGAGGATGCTGTTCTGGGGCACTATGTTGGTGAGGGTGAAGGTAGCATTCTTACTGCTATTGCTGTTGTGATGGCTATTGGGGTTCAAATGGCCCCGGTTCAAACCAGTCAGGTTCTTGTAGTCTGCATTGACAGCCTGATTCTGGCCAATTTGCTGTGAGGTGATGTTGTAGTTTTTGCTGAGGGTCTTCTCTGTTTCCATCTCTTTGGGCAAATTGTTCCGTATCAGCTTGACAGATAAGGAAGAGGAAAAGGTGTTAGTATTGGGGATGGGAGTAATGGAGCAGGTTTCCCTGAAGAAGAAGTCTCTGAGTGTCAAGACCCCATTTTTTGTCTCATAGACAATCTCAGTCTATGAGAATGTATGAATCCAAGAAAAAATCCTGTAGCTGCCACTCCCCAATGAACACTAAAGCTTTAAAAAAAGACTCTCCGTATCTGACTGTTCTCATTTAGACTTGTGACCTTTGTTATCCAGCCTGCAACCTGTGCTAGGAATGTGGCTGGATACATGAGACAATCAGAATTTTGCACTCCTAGGTTTGAAGTTGACTCTGGTAAGACATCCACCCTGCCACATCTGCTTCCTTTTCCACCTCTCTCCACACCCCACATCTGCCCACGGCTCTCCCCAGATTCTCCCACCCCCAGTCTGTCATTCTCTGATTCCATCTGTGGCTGCTACAGGTGTACCACACTCCTGGAACACCAGAGTTTGTCTCCTATAACCCCATATACAGGGAGATGTGTTGAGAAACCAGTCCTAGAGGTGAAGTTTCCCAGGGGGGCTACAGGTCACTGCAAGGATGAAGCTTTTTCTGTTCAATAATCAAAAGGACCTCAATGCAAATGGGATTTGCTACTACATTCATAATAACGTCTCAGAGCTGATCTGGGCTAGGGAGCATCTTCTGCAACCTCACTGCAAAGAAGTTAGAAATGATCAGCCTCTCCAAGGAGCTCATAATCCCCAGAGTCCTGAGGAACCTTGACATCAGGGTTTAGTGATGTAGCAAGAACTAATAGTATTTGCAACCTAATGTACCACAGAAACTCCATAGAGCAGAACCAAGTGATTTAAAGGGACTAACCAAACAAAGTAAAGAAACAGTGAAGAAGGGAACTGAGGCAGCCAGCCAAGCAACACCAGCTTACTCTGTAACCAGGTCTATTGTCTTAAGGCAGTCACTTAGAACTTCGGGGACTCCAGACAGAGTTGACCACCAGAGATCCCCAATGAAGCCCCTCAGAGACCTTACAAGGACATGTATATATGCTAATAAGTGTTGGGAGATATGAATATGTAACAGGAATGTGGGGAACAAAAAATGAATAATCACGTGTAATGTAATGCTGACATCTCAGCTGTAGTGAAGATACCTCTGTGTGCACCAATTCCCAAGGTTCCAGCAAGCTGTGACCATGCAGGGTGTCATAATAAGGAATGTCTGCTTGCTAAAACTCACAAATGGAATCTCAGAGGTTTCTATTGAGAGCCGATTTTAGGCAACAAACTCAATAATGCAAAAGGACCTCTGGAGAAAGTTACCAGAATCAAAGCATTTACAGGTGGCCTGGCTCCATGGTCCAGAAGGAAATGACCAGGTTGGATGGGGCTCTGAGTAAGCGGCTCTAATGGAAGATGCCCTTGTCCATGGCAGGGAACTTGGAATGAGATGATCTTTAAGGTTCCTTCCAACAAAACCCCTCTATGATTCTATGATTCTACAAAAAGGAAGAAGCTTTTATCCCTGCCCTACATATGGAGACTGCAGTGGTCCAATACCACATTACTTGCTGAAATTCCTGTGAGTAATAAGTGCAAAAGATTTTTTTTCATGACTCCAACACATTTATTTTCCTCTTTAGCGGAAGACATTTAGCCTTCCTCTAGAACAAGGCATATGGTTTTCTTCTGTCTCTCATTAACACCTAAATTCCATCCTGCTGCTCTGTCCTTAGCAATGACCTGAACTTCCTCACCTTATGTTCCATAATTTCCTTGGTCTTTTTTACTGGAGGTCTGAAGGACATTTGGGAGAGCTCTGTTGTTTGGGGAGATCTGTGTGTCTGGTGGATCCTTCTGAACCAAGCCTGAGGCAGCAGTGCTCAGGGGCAACTGGCCATGGCTGGAGATCACCCCCTTCTGACTGGACTGACACTGATGCTCCTCACTTTTCCCTGCCTGAAATATCACTCAATACATTCCCCAGGGTTCACCAAACCCTCTCACCACTCAGTGCCTGTGCCAAGGCTTTTTCCCTGGGTCATCTCACCCAGTTCTGAGTTTCTCCTCACTTCTCTCACATCACTTACAAAGCCTATTTGACTCTTAATTGGGAGCAATTAAGCTCTGCCAAGGATGCAAAACAGCTCAGGGTAAAGTGGAGATCAGAATCCAACAGGACTGTTGGTCCCCCAAATTTAGCTGCTGTTGGATGCCTTTTCCCCATCACTTGGTCTCCCACCATAGCAGGGCAGAGCAAGGGGGGGTTGTTTGACTTTGGAATGGAATGGAATGGAGTGGAATTTGCCTTGATGTTGCTCTCAGGTCAATGCAGAAAACTGGGCACCTTTAGGATATGACTCATCTCCTCCTCCTGCTGATGTCTCAGACACATCAGAGGAATCATGTGGTGCAGGTGTTTGAAGTAAGATGACATGAATGCCATCCAGTGGATCCATTTGCATGTGTGAGTATGGGGGTGGGTGCAAATAGAGATGTTTGGTTAAACACTGCAGTTCATCTTTTAGTGACTGCAGAGTGAAATGCTGTAAGAGAGGACACTCACCTGGGGCTCAACCATCCACTTGTCATGCCTCGTGCCAGGTCCAGGCTGGTAGATGTAAGCAGAGTACACGGGAATACGACTGTTTATGTCATACAGGGTGGCATAGTGATAACTGTTGTTGTAGCGCTGGCAGATCCAGGCTGGGTTCTGCGGCAGCAGAGCATTATTTGGGGGGGTATTCTCGTAGAAATACTGAGGACAACTCGCAAAGGACTTCACCACCTCGCTGTGTCCCAGCCAGAGGCAGCTCGCCCAGACCTCCAGCAGCAGCAGCCACAACATCATAGGAGGATTTCAGGTGAAGGGCTCTTGCTCCCCTGGAAGGCAAATGCAGAGGGACACTCAGCTTGGAGAGAGCTGACCATGGCCTGCAGTCATTTTTGTGCAGGTGGGACACAGCTGGCTGACAAGGGGACTATGAGAGACCAAGAAGAGGGTACTGTCTGACCTAGTGGATATGGAAAAGTGCCAGGGCAAAGAAGGTGAAATCTTAAACAGGAGGCAGCAGTGGGAGAATTCATCTTATCTGAGGAGGGATCCAAACCCACCTCATGTCCACTCCGCTCTCACAGCAAAGTTATCTGACTCTGAGGGTCTGAGGCACAGCAGTGGGACAAGGTCACCTTGTCCAAACTCCCGGAGTTGGACAAGTTCCTGTACAGTAAAGGGCACTGTTGCAGGAATTTCTATTTCTTCAACAGAAACAAGTCCTTTTTGGAGCTTGGAGAGAGCTGACCATGGTCTGCAGTCATTTCTGTGCTGGTGGGACACAGCTGGCAGCGGAGGGAGCTGCTCATTCATTCACAACTAAACTGGGCTCATTTCCCTCCACTTCCAGAAGTCCAGGAATACTGTAACAATGTGTTGATTGTTATAACCAGAAATAAGCAGAAGAAGTCATGAACATTTCATCCTACCTCTGGGGTCTACAAGCTCATGGTTTACATTTCATTGATGTTTATAAAAGCGCCTAATAACTGGCACTTCTCTGCTTTCATGTCAGTTCAGGCAGTGCCTACATGTTGTCCGGACCTGTGCACTTCCTGGATAGAGAAGTGCTGTGAGTGATATTGAATGAGCTCTGCTGCTCATTGATCCAGCTCCCATGGGGTCTGTTCTGTAAGACAAACCTCCATTTCTTCAACCTCTAGAAAATCCTATTTGATCCTCCAGTCTTCTCCCAACTGGGAGCTCAAAGATACACAGATTAAGTACTTCTGATAAGTTTTCCATGTCATGCATGAAAAGAAGCAAGACTAGCAGCACTTTCTAGGGAAACTGAACCAAAGTCCAGATCTAGACTCTCCATGTGGATGTTCTCCTGATTTCCACCTCAGTTTTCTTTCTATCAGATGCTAAAGGCAGCAGTCCAACCTCATTCTCAAAGCAGGGCAAGCTGGGAGGTAGCTGAGCAACTTCAGGGAAATTGAAAGACCTTCTGGGCGTGCTGCAGGCTGCATGCCCAGGTCTTGTAGCAGGATACTTTGCCTTACAATGCGATCAAACAACTCAAGCAATGCCTGGTTTTACAAGCCATCAAGGTGGGCTGAGAGGGGGCATCATGTGCTGGTTTTGGTGTTCGATTACGCTAAAACCAGTGCGACACATCACCCCCCAAATTAACACCCTGAGAGCCAGGCAGAGATTTGGCAGATAAGCTGCTAAACTGACCTGGAGACATATGACTGACTGGCAGTCACTCAGTTTATACTCTAGAAGCCCAGTCCACTTTCATGCCATCACATTCTTCTAACATCCTCTCCTTTGAAGTGGAGATTCCCCTTCGAGGTTACTCCTTGAGGTTAAGAGATAGAGATCTGCCCACAAGTGTTGGTATGGTGAGTTACACCGATCCCTAATTAATGATTGTTTCTTCTTGCTAACTTTAATTATAATTGCTTTGATACAATGCACTATCCTATCCTATCCTATCCACTTCTGGTAGTTTTAGCTTTTATATTGTGTAATAAATAGTTCTGATTAAGATCCTTTGTCTGACCATTTGTCATACTAAAGAATTCATTTTATGTAAATATACGTGGTTTGGCATCTTGAACCCTGTGGGACAAAGTCGTACTGAAAACCATTGACAAAGTCTGGGACTAACATTGGATCCAGCCTCATCCAGACTCCACTCACAGAAGGAGTTCAGAAATTAAGGGGTCCTCTCTGCACCTCATAGCACAGTGAGAGGGCTTCTCTAATAAACTTTCTCTGAAGTCCCACTGTCGCTCACGACACATCTCCCCTTGAGAAGAGACACCTCTCAAAGTTACTCCTCAATGCTGAGAGATTCCTTCTTGTGTCAGATCCTCAGTAAGTGGACTGGGAATAAGCACACTGAAACTTTCAAATCTTTCTTTTGGGGAGCAAATGCACTTTCCCTGCAAGCTTGGAGAACAGCCCCTTCCTCCTCCTCCTCCGGGCTCTGCTCACCTTTACAGGCAGCAGGTCACTCATCTGCACCAAAGGGAAAACTTTACCTGGAGAAAAGCAGCAGCAGCAAGATGATGCACTGCTCCAGTCGATTGCTGGTCTTGTTGGCAGCAAGGGAATTCAAAGGCTAGCAGGTTTGACTGGAAAGTGTCTCAAACCCCGCCGTTATTCCCAAGGGAAATGGAAGGCCCAAGATACTGATACAACTCTGCAGCCTGGATTTGTGAAATTTCCTTTTCTTTCCACCATGCAGTGAATTTCTACAACATTTTCTGATCCCGGGAGTTGTACATCTAAGTCTTTCTACAGCCCAAAGCCACAAAAAATACACCACGTACCTCAGACAGGCAAGAAGAAGACTCACTCCCAGAGTCCTGGTTCAGACTCCTAGATGAGATCCCAGCAGCTCGTCTCTTCCACAAGGAGAGATGGATCCCGTTGGATACACCAACCCGCTTCTTTGGAAAGCCACACCGCTGGAAGAGCCACGCTTCAATATATACAGGCTTTGTTTGCTACTGGACATTAATTATGCGGAGGGTAATTAGCAGTCACATTAATATGATTTCCTGTTTATCTGTTGTCTCACTCCATATGGAAATGAGATTATTGACTGCAAGCGGAAATATGTCAGACCAGACTCCAGAGGAAGGGCCTCGTTGCTCATGAGGAAGAGCAGCCCTTGTGATCAGGGGCTGTGCCTTGGGTCATCTCTGCTGGACTTGGCATCCCCTGGGGGTCTGTGGATGTGACATGGCAGGAAGGGTCAGCTGTCTGCCATGGGCAACACTGATCTACCCTTCACCTCTGAATGTGTCAACTCTATTCATTCAGTGCTCACTGCCTCCAGCCAGGAGAGAGGTGACAATGCTGCATGGTAGGAGGTGGCAGATCCTGCTGATACACAGACATCAACTCCTATTAAGAGACTCAAACTGTGATTTAAGAGAAAGCACTTGGAAATGCTGAAATTGACAGGAGAGCCCTTGTTCCCATTAAGTGTAATCCTAAAATCACAGAACAGCCTGAGCTGGGAGCGACCCACAAGGATCCTCCAGTCACACTCTTGTCCCTACATGGGAAAATCCAACAATCCCACCACATGCCTGAGAGTGCTGTCTAAATGCTCCCTGAACTCTGACAGGCTTGCTGCTGTCACCACTTCCAGGGGGAGACTGTTCCAGTGCTCATCCACTCTCTGGGTGAGGAATCTTTTCCTAATATCCAACCTAAACTTCCCAGTTGCAGGTCATTCCCTCGGGTCCTGTCACTGGTCATGAGACAGAAGAGATCAGTGCCTGCCCCTCCACTGCCCCTCATGAGGAAGCTGCAGACCACAGTGAGGTTGAGGTTTTCTCTCAGTCTCCTCTTCCCCAGGCTGAACAAGCCAAGAGACCTCATACAGCTTCCCCTCTACACCCTTCACCATCTTTGTGACAAGGTGTTCTGTCATTTTGTGGGTTTGGGACTTTCTTGCCACTCCTGAAAAATCCAGAAGACTGAGTAAACAGATCCTCCATTCCTGAATCTTGGGCAATGCTCACCCTCAGTGATTCCTGAACAGACTTGACATAAAGGCTTTTGGAATGGTGATAACACCACTGGGTGTGAAGTGCTAAAATGCCACTGAGATGACCTTAGGAGTTCATTGGAAAACTTAGTAAGTTTAAGTCAGGATCTGTGCCGGACAGAGCAGGAGCAAACAGTCTGTGCTCCCCAACTGCTGGATGATGGTTTGTCTTACAGTGGACAAGGACATGAGCCAACCACTCCAGCTGAGTACATACGATGGGAGGTCAGTGGGAAACCCTTTGCATTTTGAGTGCCCAAGACATGGTAATGTTTTCCAGGGGCATTTCAAGGATGTAAACGTTAGAGACAGTGGATACACCTGTTACTTAAAATCCACATCTGGAATAAAGCTGAGCACCAGTGGAATAGGCAGATGACTCCCAGACACTGAGGCCCACTGCTGCATCACAATGTGTGGGTGAAGAAAGCAGCCAGGACTCAAAGCCTGGGCTGATCAGGAACATGCCCTAATTAAACGGCATGTGCAAGAAACTGGCTCTTAGAGAAGGACTAACACAGAAAACAATTGTAAGAAGTCCCTCCTCTCTCCCCCTATCTAAGGGACTTGAAGTCCCAGCAGCTCTGGTTTTGACTAAGCAGGATTTGCCCTGTTAAGAGCTGGTTCTCAGCACTCCCTGTGCAGTCAAGACAAGAGGAATACACATATCCAGGGCACAGCTGCCACCAGGCAGATGAAGGCAATTACACTGCAAAAGTGCTCACTTCTCTCTGATGACCAGAAGGATTCCCAGAGGGACAAGCTCTGCTTGACACCTCTCAGATTACACGAGGTGAGTCCCACTCTGTGTTGACATCCCTACACTCGAGATGTCTGTATTCCATTACTTAGACAAAGAATACCATCAAAATACAAAAGCCATTCTTTGCCAATTCCCTTCCTCATGGGCAGGCCTCTGATGCAAACATCCTCTCACCATGCACTGTCATGAGCTTGACCTGTCAATTCAGCAGGAATTTCAGGGGAATTTCCTAACCTGCTGCAGTCACAGCACCTTCCCTGTGTGGGAGGATATTTTCCTGAGAGAACAACAGATAAATAATCAATGTAGCAAGAACAGATGGGAAGTGTGCACTGCATGCAATTCTGTCTTAATGATCTCACATCCAGGTGTTTGATGTGCTTGTAAAAGACAATAGGCGGTGAGGATCAGAGAGTATTTCTCCTACTGCTTGGCAGGGTTGGCTGGGGTTAGAGCTGTGCTCCAAGTGTTACTCAATCCCCAGATAGCTGCTGGTACCAAAGCATGAAGATG